AAAAGCAAAAAGTTTTTTGTGCGTTCGTGGTTTTGGAGAAGGCTTATGACAGAGTGGACAGGAATGTGTTATGGTAAACACTGAACTAATTTGGGTTGAGCGCTGGGTTGATACAGGCATTGAAGTCTCTGTATAGGAACTCTAGTGCTTGTGTCAGGATCAACGGGGCCTGCTCGGACTGGTTTGGCATCCATAAAGGTGTCAGACAGGGCTGTGTGGCTTCCTCGTGGCTGTTCAACCTATTTATGGAGAGTTGTTTAGAAAATTTGAAAGTAGAAGAATGTGGGTTAAGAATGGGTGAGTTAACCGTCAAATGCCTTTTGTACGCCGATGATCAAGTCATACTTGCGTCGTTGGCTGCTGGGTTGCAAATTATGGTTACATTAATGAACAGGACATTATAAGAAAAGGGAATAAAAGTGAACGCAAGTAAGACGAAAGTTATGGTTTTTGAAAGAGATGAAGAGAAGAGAAAAATGGGTTAAGCTTGAACCTTTTATCCTGTTTTTGGATTTCGGAAATGTTAAAGTTAAAGTCGAACCTATAAACGTCCTGTGCATATGATCCAAATTCGGAAATTTATTTTGAATTAATTACGATTAAAAACAAATTTCAATAACTAAAAATTGCTGTTTTTCTTATATAAATCTAGTTGCTAAATTAGTATTAAAATCTAAATTATTATAAATGTTGCATTAGCCTACTGCTTAAATATTGTGTGTTGTTATAAACTATATTTTGGTAGTAAATGTACGGTTAGTGTGAACTTTGAAAGTTTTTGTACTTGGTCAATAATCTGTGTCTTCTTTACATTGAAGTATAATGTACTTACGTACTAGAACAGTACTAGAACACGTTAAATTGACATATTTGTGTTTATTTATACGCAACTTTAAGTAAAATTTATTTTTGTCTTAATTAATTCAAAACGCATTTCCGACCTCCAAAAGCAGTGTACAAGGCTCAAGCTTAACCCTGACAAGCCACCTTAACTGAAAACATAATTAAAATCATGGATATAGTCATGCATACATTAGATTGGCGATAGAGTGATTAGGGTGAGACCAAAAACGAAGTGTACCGGTGTGAGTGAAATTTGCATGTGTGCGAGACGAATAGTGCTGCGCCATTCTCATAAAAATATTTTTATGTTTGTTGGCATAAAAATAAAAGTACAAACAAAAATTTTGGAATTTTTATTTTCCAACAAAAGTAATTAATTAATTGTAAAACTGTCATAAGCTCTTCTTAGAGTTATTTTGCAATTTTACTTCACACTTAAATCTAATAATCAAATATGTTGCGATTATTAATTTAATAATTAAGTATTTATGGTTTGATATATCTAGCGAATCATACATATGTATGTCAAGTATGTTAAAAAAAATTGCAGGATGCAAGGCATTAGTTCACAAAATTTTAAAACATTTTCGTTTACAATTCTTCCTTTCATATCTTTTCGGAATGAATACCTATATCGTAAACGTCTTGAGAGGGATAAACAGTAATGCTTGCACTGCCGTGTTCCGGCCTGTTGTGCATAGAGAGCCTGCATAATTGTAAGCTGTAAGGCATTTTATCTTCCTCTTCTTCGTCAGGGGTGAAAACACATTTGTAGCTTTCTTGTACTATGACCATGTACTGTAGTAGCCGTTTATCATCAAGTGATACTGTAAATTCCTTTGTTACTTTTGTTTAATAGAAAAATATACATCATAAGGAAGACGACAACATATTGCAAACATTTGAACATGCGTAAACGAAATAAACACATGTACAGTATATATGTAATAAGGAACTACGCACGGGCATAAATAATGTGGGTATTGAACCAGAACGCAGCTTTATTCTTAGTGCACTTCTATGAAAAAAAATATATTTTTGTTTAAAGTGCTTGTACATATAGTCTTCATTTTTTACCATTTTGTTTAACCTCAATATTTTTTGGAAATCTGAAACATTATGAGAGTTTACTAAAGTATTTACTATAATGCCATTTGGCTACGAAACCCTAAAAATTTAAATTAAAAAAATTGCGAAGTTACTGCAACATACAAGAGACATATTATCAATAAAATGATATTGATAGTATCAATCTCCACAAAAATTAGATCAGAAATAGCGGAAATTCACGTATTTGTTATCATTTTTAATATCATTCTTGCGCATTTAGAGTATTATCGTAATAAAATGTGATGTTTTTCCCTATCCATTTGTGTATACAACATTTGTACCAATTCTAAAATATTGCATTTAGAGTGCTAAATATTTTAATTGTACTTACGTGTGAAATGTATAATTTTGTGGATTTTCTTTTCTCGATCAACTGCATTCAGGTATTGCACACGTCACTATATTTAATGATACCTTTTAAATACTTACTAATACTACAAAATAGAAGATATTGCGAAAATAAGCGGGATTTATTTCGTTAACGATTGACGTCAGCCCGATATAGGCCTATAGCGTGTACGTGTATGGTCTAGCCATTCTATCTCGTTCTAACGTACGTATATGCTATGCCCTTTCTCTTTTACATTGCCAATCTAACGTATATACTAAATCCATGATTAAAATCAAGTACCGGACGACTATAGCCATTCCATAAGGGGGGCCAACCTAAGGATGAAATTGGTTTAATTAATTATAAATACTTAAAAGACGAAAAAAAAACATTTTTATGTTCGAACAGTAAAGAACAAACCACGAATAATTAATTAAAATTAAATAAACTCTAAACTAAAAATAAAAACTCCAAGTGGTGCTATGATGTTCAGTTACCTTTCTATCGTAGACTAGTATACAGTAATCTATGTCTTCCGTCACTGTCAGTTCTGTTCATGGGTTACTCATCTATTTTATTTGAGGATGAGGGAGTACATTTTACGCGAGGTACTCACGAGATACCCCTCATTTAAAGCGAGGAATCACTAGTAGTAGAAGAAATATTATTACCATATTCGTTATATTTATAATATTGTTATGTTACAACAGGCGTTATCAGTGGACGCAAATAAAATTCGAGATCACAAAAAAGTACGCATGATTTTATATTCATACACACACAATCAAGTCACACATATGTGACTTAATTGTTTCAAATTCCATTACTCAAAAATTATTTTCGTTGTTTATTAACTTTTTTCCTTAATATCGACACCTCACTCATTTAGTGTTGCTGTAAAATACATAATCTCGATACCTACTTGAACTATTTTTAATCGAGTCGTTCGCTCACTCACTCGGGACACAATTCATATTGTCAGTCAAAAGCGAAGTCGTGAACGAGTGAGTGAGGTGTTTTAATGTTAAAGTTCGAGTAACTCTTTCGATTTGCCGTCACGAGGACCTCATACGAGGCAACTCATGAGTGAGGGACACATCACTAGTCAGTCCACAGAGTTTTGGCGCAAAATTGCCGGCGGCAAATTGCTGCTTCTATATTATTGTATAAATAATGGTTTGAAGTGGAATTTGATATGTAAAAGTGGTGTGATTTTGTGTGGTATCTACGCATGTGAACTATTAATGGAAACGGCGAAACAAGTGTTCTGATGATGATGTGACTCTCAAGATAAGGTGTCTGTTTGCTTAGGTACCATGAAATATCATCGCCAACTGTGACCTGTCTGCTGGCTCAAGTTGCCATCAAAATCTCCAAAGGGCTGCACAATGTGACGCATCAACATATTCTGAAGCAGTGTACTATTTAAGATAATTTTAGCTGAAGTTACAATTCAAAATCTGAGCCTGAAGTTACAATTATACATTGTAACTTCAGGCTCAGAAGGGCCAGAACCCAGAGCTGTAAAGCTAGTTACAAAAAATCGGTTCACCTTCACACACTTCCTGTATAGGACACTTAGCCAGTACCCACACTAGTACTCTTTGCCACTTCACGTTTTGTATAAAAAAAGGAGTTTTGGCGGGAACTTGATCGGCGTTGGTATGCTGCTCCTGTATTATTGTTTAAATAATGGTTTGAAGTGGATTTTAATATGTAAAAGTGGTGCGATTTTGTGTGTTAAGTGTCTGCCCATGTGAACTATTAGTGGAAACGGTGAAACAAGTGCTCTGATGGTGATGTGATTCTCAAGATAAGGTATGTCTGCTTAGGCGCCTTGTGATACCATCGCCAACGGTCAGGTGTCTGCTGGCTCAAGTTACCGTCAAAATCTCCCAGGGGCTGCACAATATGACGCATCAACATATTGTGAAGCAGTGTACTATGAAGAAGAATTATACATTTAACTACAGGCACAGAAGGGCTAGAACCCAGAGCTGTAAAGCCAGTTATACAAAAAAAAAGTATAAAAAAAGGAGTTTTGGCGGGAACTTGATAGGCGGCGATTTGCTGCTCCTGTATTATTGTTTATATAATGGTTTGAAGTGGATTTTGATATGTAAAAGTGGTACGCTTTTTTGTATTAAGTGTCTGCGCATGTGAACTATTAGTGGAAACAGTGAAACAAGTGCTCCGATACCGATAGTGATGTGATTTTCAAGATAAGATGTCTGTCTGCTTAGGCGCCTTGAGATACCATCGCCAACTGTCAGCTGTCTGCTGACTCAAGTTGCCATCAAAATCTCCCAAGGGATGCACAATGTGACGCATCAACATATTGTGAAGCAGTGTACTGTGAAGGATAACTATACATTGTAACTTCAGGCTCAGAAGGGCTAGTACCCAGAGCCGTAAAGCCAGTTATAAAAAAATGTATAAAAACCCAGGCTCAGAAGAGCTAGAACCCAGATCCGTAGAGCCAGTTTAAAAAAATGTATAAAATTAAAAACCGAAATGTCAGTGTCACTTTACTATTACTTTACCAAAGAAATGAAATAGCACAGAACAACTATGTATTAATATTAGTAATATTTTAGAAATACGGAATACTCTTGTTAGATAATAGTACAATCCACAGATTACCTTTATATACACCGAAAGGACATTCCTTGGTCCACAAAGAAACACAAAAGATTAAGAGTACTAGCGCACAGAAATGGACCCTAAGGAAGTAGTGGATCATTTGGTGGCCCTTAAAGTGATGAGGCTTACCAAGCCTGCTCTCGTAAGCCCTAAAATCGTAACTTGTGATTTCAGAGATTTGCCTGGCAATATTTTGAATAATTTTTTAAAAGATGATGCTACTTCAGTTGTCCAGATGGAAACTTTGGCTGCTGGTCAATTTCTATTGTTGCCACAAAGCTTTGGTAATATTTATCTCGGAGAAACTTTCTCTTGCTATGTGTGTGTACACAATGAGACATCACAAACTGTGCAAAGTGTATCTATTAAAGCTGATTTACAAACAAGTTCACAAAGAATCCCATTATCTACACAAAATCAATCCCCAGTCATGTTAGATGTTGATGAAACATTAAGTGATGTTATCCATCACGAAGTAAAAGACTTGGGCACTCACATATTGGTTTGTGAAGTGACATACATGTCAAATTTTAATACTTTGGCCTCATTTAGAAAATTTTTCAAGTTCGAAGTTATGAAGCCATTAGATGTTAAAACTAAATTTTATAATGCTGAATCTGATGATGTTTTTCTAGAAGCTCAAATCCAAAATATAACATCAGGACCTATTACTCTTGAGCAGGTGTCTCTTGAAAGTTCACAACATTTTTCAGTGAAGTCATTGAATGATGTTGAAGATAGCTTATCAGTTTTTGGCTATGTCACATTACTGCAAGCTCAGGAAAGTTGTCAATATTTGTATCGGCTAACACCAAAAGAAAATACATCTACGGAAATTAAATTACCAGTAGCTGCCAAGAACATTGGAAAATTAGATATTGTATGGAGGTCTAATTTAGGAGAAAAAGGAAGGTTGCAAACAAGTCAGTTGCAAAGAATAACACCTGATTATGGAGATATTAGACTTGTATATGAAAATATACCTAGTAAAGTTACTGTAGATGAGCCATTTAGCTTTAAATGTAAAATTGTTAATGCCAGTGAGAGAACTTTAGATTTAATATTAAAATTACGTTCTATTCAAGGTTCTAGTTTACTATGGTGTGGCATTTCAAATAGAAAGCTAGGTCCCTTAGAACCTGGAAATGTTAAAAATATTGAATTAACTGCTTTGCCTATAAATACTGGTCTTCATATTATAACTGGAGTATCATTGGTAGATTTATTTCTAAAAAGAACATATGACTATGATGACTTAGCTTCAGTTTATGTATGTTAATAATGTGGTGTGTAATTTAGTTTCCATGTGTAAGTATAAATTTTTTACCCTTAGACAACTAAGGTTCATTTTACATGCCACCCAAAAAATTTAATTAGCATGCCAACAAATAGAGATCTAAATTTCCTATCATATTCAATCAATAATTTGATAATAATAATTTATTTCGAACCATGATCCATATTAGTCCATAGAGAGCTAGCGACGACTTTTGGGAAGGTCCTTTTGGCAAGTTGAAATTGTGAAAAAATATAAAACTTGATTTCTTTCCTACCTTTTAATTTAGTTTTTATATAATTCAAAAAAATAATCCCAAACGTGTTTTTCGGTTATATATACCAGACCTCCAAAAATATTTTATTAAAATTGCCAAAAAATATACTTTTGGCAATCTCAAATTTTAATCACGTATTTATACAACAAATCGCCAGACAAATTTAATGGTTTTAAACAATTCCCAGACGTGAATAACGTTTACAAAAGAATACGACAAAAACGTCTAATGCGCAGCCATAAGTACGAGAAAGTTAGCTTATCGAGGCACGCCGGCAGCTGATGGGGGCCCAAACCCCTCGCGCTGTGTTTGTTTATTGAGAAACCACATGTTTCCTGTATAGTTCCGGCTCTGCGTTCAAAATAGAATATTTTCTGTGAGAGCAATCGTATCATACATACATGCTAAATCCCAAAACAAGAATTTAATTTTAAAATCTTTAAAAAAGATATAAAAACACTAAGGCTTCAATTCCTCCAACGCTGACGTCGATCGCGTACGTCGGTTGCGCGTACTAATGTACATTGTGTTCTATATAGCCCCACACTACGACGCTGACAACAGCGGCGTGTAGTTTGCTACATTAGTAGGCGCGACCGACGTACGCCACCGATGTCAGCGTAGGAGGAATTCAAGCCTAAATGATTTTTCACGATCTTGCGATTGCTCTCACACAAAATACTCGGGTGTGAATGCAAAGCCAGAACTATACTTTAAACACATGGTTTCTCAATAACCAATCACTGCGCGAGGAGCTTGGGCCCCCATCAGCTGCCGGCATGCCTCGATAAGCTTTCTCATTCTTATGCTGCACATTAGACTTTTTTGTCATATTGATTTGTAAACTTTATTCAAATTTGGGAACTGTTTAAAACTGCTAAATTTGTAAAATTTCAAATGTTATATGCTGCGCAGTAACGATATAACTGCAAACGCTCTGCCAGACTCGCGGGACTGGATTCGCCAACTGAAGAAATTATATTTCTTCACAATTTCAATTTGTCAAAAGTCGTCACTAGCTCTTGGACTATATAGGTTAGTAAGTAATTTATAAACTAAAATATGTTAGTAACAATATTAAGTAATTATAACTAAATTAATTCATGTACCTACCTCTAATAAAAGTGGTATTAATATTATAAATATAACAATGTAATATAAATAAATATTTTCTTTATCTTTTAAGTTTTAGTAACATTTATTATTTATTAATTGATTAAAAATGTCCCAAAATAGTATTTAAAAACACGTTCCCTTGGGTCTAATGACTTTTAGGTGACATAGTGATGGTTTGAGGGCTATACAAAAAGTATTGTGCCTCTACCTTCCATTTCGATTAACAAATTATACATTTTCATTACAGATGTACCAACTCCAAAAAATTACAACTCGAGTTGAAATTCACGCAACTTGAGTTAACAGTACGAAACAGTGTAAATGATTTGTTCCTAATTAATTAATTACTTCTTTATAAATTTGTATTTCTATTTAGCTCTTTGGTTTGTTGGGATAACTATAATTACCAAATTTATTATCCAGGCTTGAAATAAAAAAGGTATATTTAGTATGTATCACATACTTATGTCTTTTTGGTTTTAATCTTAGTTGTAGTACTTACCTGTATTTAAAAAAAAAACGAACTGTATAGTAATTTTCACGAAACAATGTTAGTCTAGCTTTAAGATGTAGGTACATAAGCTAATAATAGTTTAATTATCACAGTCAAAATATTCTTAAATAAATTCAAATTTATTGTAAGTTAAGTGTTTAAAATATAACGTTTCTATTTTTCATTGCCCTGTTCACCTTGCAAGGTATAATCAAAGACGTATTAAAAAAGATAGACAGGTTACACACTAACATTATTGTATTTTAAAGTGGCGCAGGTAGTACTATAATTATTTATTATGACACGTTGCGCTAACAAAAAGGGACAAATGATACGGCATACCTATCGTTAGAAAAAGATGAATATACATCATTAGTTGCGTATTGATTGCTGCTGAGCGCTCATTGGCGCGAACGCGTAACATACCAATATGGAAATGAATACACTAGCTAGCGTCAAAGTTTACACTAGCGGTTAGTGTTGAAATAATAAAACCAATTATGAACAAAACATCTATATTCAAAACATTAATGAGACGTTTTTCTTGTCTCTAACAGTTGTCGTGTAATTTGTGCACCACCTAAAAACACAGGAAGGCATTTTTACCACGAATAACTAGAAGATTTACGCGCTGTAACGAAGGTATAGCCGCGACGCGAGTGCGTGCCCGACTGAATGCGAGTCGGGCAATTACCTGACTTTCGTATTGCCATTTAAGAGCGAGTATGACGTATCTATACTTTAAAAACATCTTAGGGTATAATGCCTCATCTACACTACTCGCGAAGTAACTTTGACGAAGTGCTCGTCGAAATCGATCGCAGTCCGAAGAACGTCTTGAGTCTCCCGCACCCTTAACATGAATAACGTTCAACAGGCAGCTGCTAAGGTACCTAATTGTGTGAACAGTACGACGTCAATGCGTTAACTAAATAAATAATTATGTTGAAAGCTACATATTTAATATTTACTTACATATAAAAAAAATATTCATAAATGGCGTAAGCCGAGTAGTGTAGTGAGACGCTTCGTGTAACTTCGGGGTACTTCGCAGTCCTTTGACTCTGGCGCAAAAAACCGACAGCGATTGGAAGTCGCCCGAGGCGAGGCGAGGTTGCACGAATCGAATCAAAGTACCTCTCTACACTATTCGCCTCGTCCAATTTCGATCTACTACGCGAGTAGTGTGGCAGAGGCATAAGAGTTTGAAAGATGTTTAATGTCTTACGATTCATTGTCAAAATGGATTAAGAAGTGAGAAAAGAATGAGAAGATTAGTGGCTTAGCAATGAGTTGCAACGCTTGGGGCCGTGATTCCTAACCCCGCATGGTACAAGTATTTTTATGGCCTACAAATAATTGTGCAATTTATGTTTGTAAACTGCCTCCACGATACATGAGAAAATGTGGAGTAACGTTTTTTAAAAGGATAAAAGAAAAAATATTACATAGCAGAAAAATATAAAAGGAACAAGAAGCAAAGATATACTCTTGGACTCTATGGATTATTCTATGATAATAACCTTAAACAAAATTACTAAAAATAAATTTCAGGAAACCTGATCAACGGAATGAAGAGTTTGCTAAATTAGTAGTGGCTTTTGAATTACGGTTACTCAATAAGCTTAGTTGTGTATCGCTAGCAACGCAAAGTCGGGAATTTGTATTTGGAAAAATCCAAAATTAGGGGCTTTTTAGGTGCTAATTAGGTGCCAAATTTAAAAATTAGGTGCTCTAAAATTTTCACCGCAACGAAATGTTGAAATTTGCGCTGCTAGCAAAACGTCTCGCTAGCAACGCAATGAAGTTATTAAATATACGATAAATATTAATAGCAAGGAATTAAGTGCTGATTAGGTGCTGCAAGTATACGCAATAACAAGGCGCCCGTAATAAAAATAAAGTCGTTATTCAGAACATAGCAGATGCAAAATTCAGATTTCCTGAAAATCAAAATACAATCAAAATTGCTTTCAGAAAAAGTCCAAATAAGGGGCTTTTTAGGTGCTAATTAAGTACCAAGTTTAAAAATTAGTTGCTGCAAAATTTTCACCGCAACGAACCATTAGTTCTAGTCATTTTATCGAATCAAAATCGATGGACTATCAAGGTGTTTGTGCCATCTAGCGTCGATAGACGCTAGATGGCACAAACACAAAGACCTCATTTTTGCATTTGCTTTACTGAATAACGATTTTATTTTTATTTGGGGCGCCTTGTCGTGCCTTGTAATTGCGTATACTTGCAGCACCTAATTAGCACTTAATTCCTTGCTATTAATATTTATCGTATATCTAATAACTTCATTGCGTTGCCAGCTATACGTTTTGCCAGCAACGCAAATTTCAATGGTTCGTTGCGGTGAAAATTTTAGAGCACCTAATTTTTAAACTTGGCACCTAATTAGCACCTAAAAAGCCCCTAATTTTGGATTTTTCCAAATACAAATTCCCGACTTTGCGTTGCTAGCGATACACAACTAATAAGCTTTAAGATGCTCGAAATTTAAAAATGGAACGCACCCGTGTTATATGTTTCTAAAAAGCAAATTTATTTAAAAATGGAATTCCATAAGCTCAATATTAAAAAAAAAAATTCTATTAATTTTCCTGCAACACTTCCCGCGCTTTTCATTTAAAACGATGGATCTTTACCGTGAACATTTGCGCGCTATGATATACGAGGGTGGATTGAAAAGTACTCGGCCTAACCAAGAAAATAAACAAATACTAAATCAGTTATATTTTTATTTTTCTACATAATCACCATCAAGTTCAATACACTTTTGCCACCTCCCCTTCCAAGCATTTAGACCGTTGAAAAAAAATGATTCTTCCTTAGAGTCAAAATATGCGTCTACAGCTGCTTTGACCTCGTCGTTTGTCGAAAATCTTTGACCTCCCAAGTGCTTTTTTATGTTAGGGAACAGAAAAAAGTCTGATGGTGCCAGATCAGGTGAATACGGCGGATGCGGTAACAGTTCAAAGCCACAGTTGTGAATTTCAGCCATTGACTGTACTGACGTGTGAACACGGGCGTTATCTTGATGAAACAGGACTTTTCTTCTGAGCATTCCTCGACGTTTTTCTTTTATTTCCTCTCGTAAACGACGTAGTA